TTTTTATTTTATTTTAGGCAGGAAATGAGTTTTTTTATTTATATTTTTTTCTGGGGGAGGGACCCCCAGACCCCCTGGAAGATTTGGACCCCCCCAATGTTGACTCCATGGCTACGGCCTTGGTGCATTGGCACTGATGAGTGATGACAATCTACATATATAAAAGGGAAATTTGTGAATGTGTGTCTATTCGAAATGTTTAGCATACTTCCCAACATGCAACAAACTTGAAATTTGGCATGTGGGTAGCTTCCAGACTGTATACAATGCAAAAAGTATAAAAATTGACTTTTGTATTGGGGGGGGGGGGGGGGGGGGGGGGGGAGGCGCAATAATGGATATATTTTACACGGCAAGTGAGTGCGGTAGCGTTACGCAGTGTGCCTGCTGACGTTACCCCCCGCCCCCCCCGAACCCTCCACGTAGGCCGTGTATTGATCCAAGACAAGAATCCAAGTCTCGGGCGAAGCCGGGTAGTAAAGCTAGTGTATTTATAATACAGCTCACCACTATCATTACTGCGTAGCTTTGTGTGGTTGAGCTGTATTGTTCTCCAATGTGTTTTCGTGTTGTACTCCATGTTGTTCCCGAAGAAGCTCCAAGCAGATGGAGTGAGATCCGGAGTGCAAGCCAAACCGCACGCAGTACATCTCAAAAATACAACAGAGGGCTCTTAACTATTATGAGAAAGTGTATTAAGGCTTTCTATTCCTTAAAGTTTGGCATATGCAGTAGTGAGGGCTTTTTTAACCTTGAGAAGCAGGGTTGTGTAAATACAAATTTAAGATAACCACATAGGCAGGGATACACAAGGTTGAACCAAAAATCCTTCACCACATTCACCGCCTTATAAGAGGATGACATACCTATCAATGCCGATGGGTTCTCCAAATGTCAACTTCCTATGTCCCTTCTGCTTTGAAGGGCCACTGCCCTAAATGTCAGCTAAGACAGAGCTAATGACGAACATGGGGGTTTCTGGGTGCATGCAGATGTGATTGAGTACTGTATTAAAATTGCATACAGGACTTGGATAATTAAAAAAAAAATTATTAAAAGGTGTGTTTTGGATCTCTGGTAAATATCTAGAGGTGTTAACTACTGACTGTTCGGTAACCTGCATTGCCACGAGGTATCAAAGGGGCAGTGCAGCGTTACCTCTGTGTACATAACGGTTGGGGTCAGACGAGGTGAAGTGGATCGTAGTCACAGTTTGGTAAGAACCAATCAGACAGTTCCACGTGGGAATGTGGGATTGGTTACACCTGGCCACAAACGGGTATAAGAAGGGTGACCGCACAGAGCGTGGGGAGTTCTGTCCCTACACAAAGACCGAAGCCCGGGCTGAAGATAGCCAGGACCCTGGACCCAGCCTTCAGGCCCTTCTGAGGGCTAAGGCTTGGCGCATCCAGGGGTCAAGACCCGCTGGGCCAGCGGTGGGTCAGATAGCCTCGCCTAGGTCCCTGCCGGAGGACTCTAGGATAGCGGTAGACGTGTGAGTAAGTCCCGCCAAGATAGGAGGCTGTACCTCCTTAGGTTAGGAAGAGACCTGTGTGTAAGTCACGCTAAGTCCGGAGGCTGTACCTCCTTAGGTATCAAGAAGACCTGTGTGTAGGTCACGCTAAGTCCGGAGGCTGTACCTTCTTGGGGTATCGGGTGAGGGGACCGTATACCCCTCTGTGTTTTAAGGACTGTGTAAAGAGAAGTATTACAATAAACAGAGTGTGCCTCATAAGAAGTTTATTCGTCATTATAAACACTACAAATACATGACGAGAGGGTCCGAACTTGAGGTGTTTCAATTTGCAGGGAATGTACTTTATTTGTACGTGAATTAATGTGCAAGAAAATTCTGTGGGGGGTCACATAGCACGTGTTGAGTATTGTTTGAGTATAGATGATTGCCTTAGCATGACGATGCCGTGACGTATCTACAGTGAGGGAAAAAAATATTTGAGCCCCTGCTGATTTTGTACGTTTGCCCACTGACAAAGAAATTATCAGTCTATAATTTTAATGGTAGGTTTATTTGAACAGTGAGAGACAGAATAACAACAAAAAATCCAGAAAAACGCATGCCAAAAATGTTATAAATTGATTTGCATTTTAATGAGGGAAATAAGTATTTGACACCTCTGCAAAACATGACTTAGTACTTGGTGGCAAAACCCTTGTTGGCAATCACAAAGGTCAGACATTTCTTGTAGTTGGCCACCAGGTTTGCACACATCTCAGGAGGGATTTTGTCCCACTCCCCTTTGCAGATCTTCTCCAAGTCATTAATGTTTCGAGGCTGACGTTTGGCAATTCGAACCTTCAGCTCCCTCCACAGATTTTATATGGGATTAAGGTCTGGAGACTGGCTAGGCCACTCCAGGACCTTAATGTGCTTCTTCTTGAGCCACTCCTTTGTTGCCTTGTCCGTGTGTTTTGGGTCATTGTCATGCTGGAATACCCATCCACGACCCATTTTCAATGCCCTGGCTGAGGGAAGGAGGTTCTCACCCAAGATTTGACGGTACATGGCCCCGTCCATCGTCCCTTTGATGCGGTGAAGTTGTCCTGTCCCCTTAGCAAAAAAACACCCCCAAAGCATAATGTTTCCACCTCCATGTTTGACGGTGGGGATGGTGTTCTTGGGGTCATAGGCAGCATTCCTCCTCCAAACACGGCGAGTTGAGTTGATGCCAAAGAGCTCCATTTTGGTCTCATCTGACCACAACACTTTCACCCAGTTGTCCTCTGAATCATTCAGATGTTCATTGGCAAACTTCAGACGGGCATGTATATGTGCTTTCTTGAGCAGGGGGACCTTGCGGGTGCTGCAGGATTTCAGTCCTTCACGGCGTAGTGTGTTACCAATTGTTGTCTTGGTGACTATGGTCCCAGCTGCCTTGAGATCATTGACAAGATCCTCCCGTGTAGTTCTGGGCTGATTCCTCACCGTTCTCATGATCATTGCAACTCCACGAGGTGAGATCTTGCATGGAGCCCCAGGCCGAGGAGATTGACAGTTATTTTGTGTTTCTTCCATTTGCAAATAATCGCATCAACTGTTGTCACCTTCTCACCAAGCTGCTTGGCAATGGTCTTGTAGCCCATTCCAGCCTTGTGTAGGTCTACAATATTGTCCCTGACATCCTTGGAGAGCTCTTTGGTCTTGGCCATGGTGGAGAGTTTGGAATCTGATTGATTGATTGTTTCTGTGGACAGGTGTCTTTTATACAGGTAACAAGCTGAGTGTGCTCCTAATCTCAGCTCGTTACCTGTATAAAAGACACCTGGGAGCCAGAAATATTTCTGATTGAGAGGGGGGTCAAATACTTATTTCCCTCATTTAAATGTAAATAAATTCATAACATTTTTGACATGCGTTTTTCTGGATTTTTTTGTTGTTATTCTGTCTCTCACTGTTCAAATAAACCTACCATTAAAATTATAGACTGATCATTTCTTTGTCAGTGGGCAAACGTACAAAATCAGCAGGGGATCAAATACTTTTTTCCCCTCACTGTATCTGCTGCTTGAACCACGGAATAGACATAAGATGCAGTCAAATACATTTATAGCAAATTTTGCATCGTTAATTTTTCTTCAATATCATTCATTTATGCATATTTTAAAAGTTTTATATAAAGTGTCATGTTTTATGAATAATACATTTGGCCGCGACATCTATAAAATGGTGCATAGTATTAGTTATTCATTATCACAATGTCAAAATATAAAGTTTAGGTTTAGGGGATTAGTATATTTCAACGTTAATAATTGTACAACGATTTGATGAAACAACTAAACGAAGATGAAAGCTCTATTAAAAACTATACTTTTGCCATGTGAATATTTATGGTTCATTTATTAGACACGGGTTATGCTTTTGAAGGAAACCCCTTTATTTTCAGAAATGGACATTAAATATATAGACGAATGACATTTTACCAAAGGATAAAGGCTATACTCTGGATTAATTAAATGTTTCATATGTTGGCAGCCTTTTCAGAGATAGACAAATATTTCTTCCTGCCTCAGCAGTCCGCCTGCTTTATTTTTTCACCTGAAGACGATTACTTATGTTTCGATCGAAACGTCGTGATTTTTTCTTCATATTTTATTATTTTTCTATCTAGGTGACTTTACCGAAAAACCCAAAGAGTACTGTATACAGACAAATGTTGACCCAAGTTCACGTCTATGTGCAAACGTACACGTAGGGTGAGTGAATACATAAGAGTGAAAGCTTTCCCTCCATTATAAAAGCCAGAAGAGAGTCACAGACATCATATACATACATACATGCAGGCTTTGTTATTGCACAGCACATGAGTGTAAATTTGCAACATTCACATCGATATGAACGTTCGCATTGTGAATGCATTAGTAAAAGCATGTTGAAGGGATTTTTTTGCACTCTCACGTGATTCTGCGGCATTGTAATAATCGTTCACACACCAGACCTGCATTTGAGAGGTCGTTGGTTTGATTACATCTCCTGAAGTGGCAGTTTAGACAATTGTTAAGTGTATTAAATCGCAAGGCCTCTGTCCACCCAACAGTATACATGGGTACACCGCAGTGCTTCAATCGGTGGGTCGTGTGCGGAGAGCTAAAACGTGGCTAATCCCACCTATTCTAAGATGTCTTTGCCATTATGGAAGAGTAGGCCAAACACCCACTGGAGAGGCTGTCTAGTAAGGTGCCCTTTTACCAGCAGATGAGGGAAGAAGAAATTCGGAAGCCACTGGAGCAATGTACTGTTAAATATAGGTCGAAAACTAATTTCTTTAGAACTGCTTTTGTGTTTAGTTGTGTAGCCCTTCCCCCCTCACCTCCGATTGGCACGGTTGGCTATGTACGGTGCGAAAGAAGTTCAACATACAAGAGATTGCAGAGCTGCACCTTTACGTTCATACACGTTACACGTGTTATACAGGTAGCAGCAGCCACCACTGGAACAGAAGGCTACTGTCGTTTTGTCACGCGGTGTCCATGCGCGGTTGCACCTTATGATGGGCCGTGGAGGCGGAGGAGGCTCGTCACTCTCAGCTGGGCGCTCTCTCGGCCCCAGCTGTCGGAATGTGTTGCGCGCCATCATTCCGATCCACAGCACCGTGGACAGAGACGCATAGTGGAGAAGGATCCCAACCTGCAAGCAGACGGTCGATCGGAGGCGAAATGTGTATTCACGGTTTGTCTTTTGTCATGAAAGCTACACATTGCTAACATCTCGGCAGGATAAATTTTGATTTAAAGCTTTCGTGACTGCAGTAATTCATGTTCTTAGTTCTTTCGGTAAAGTCACGTTGAAGGGAAACAACAAAATAATAAAATATATATACCGAAAGAACTAAGAATATCTCGGCAGGATGTTAACTCCCTTGCCCGGTGTGCAGGAGGTCGTGGGTTCGATCTGGACCCTGACGGCTGTGTATTTGGAGTTTGCATGTTCTCCCCGTTGGTCGCGTGGATTTTTCTCCGGTTCCTCCGATTTATCCCTCCACATTTAGAATCATGCGTTTAGAGCATTTGGCTGCTATACATTTCCTCATGATAAGTTCCTTCGTTGAGCTATCATTTGTGGTCATGTCGCTTTTGAAAAAAAACCTCTATAGCTCAGTGTTTTTGAACTGGTAAAATAAAATAAAAATGGTTTAGTTTAATATTGCATAATATTGCATGACAAATTAAAGTTGAGTTATGTGCATTCTACAAATGGGCCTCGGATTGCACTCATTGCAATGAGGCAGCTCTGAAAATGTCAGAATTCCATGTTACAATGGCAGGAGCAAGTGTTTCCATAGGGTGACCATTGTTAACTTCTCATATGGCAGTTATTTTCTCAACCCGAGTCTGTGTTGTTGTGTCAAATGGGTGATACATTGTTGCAAAAGGTGAGAAGCTGGTTGCAAGCGTTCTGCACAATTACCCAAAATGCACAGGTTTTCTGTCACAGCAATTCGACTGGAGGACAATGTAAACAAAGATGACAACATCCCGCTTGCCTCTCTGCTTTAGAAATTGAAACTTTCATAATGCCAGCTTCAACTCGTAATATTGCTTCCACGTGTATGTAGAACTCCAAAACTCTACGTGCATATTTAGTGTTAGCATGTGACAAGGTTTCCCCCTGTTAAGCAATTTACATGTGAACCTTTTTATAAATTGTACAGCCTAATATGTTTTATTAATTAAGCTGTTGTCCCTGAGGAACTATTAAATTACAGTCAAATGTGCTTAAAAAGCAAATGACGTAACCTTTAGATCATGACCAGGGGAATACAAAATATATTAGGTTCATGTGTGTGTATATAGGTCGCAATGATCATTGCAGTGGCTCGTTATATTGTATATGCAGATTAAAATGTATTAATACTTGTAATGTAATAACCGAGGTGACAACATAATACGCAATATGCTGAATTGTTCTTAGCATAAAAGGGTAATTGAAATTTTAGTTTAACGGTTATTTATTTTCCCAGACATCAAAATACATATTTTTAAAATATTTGCTATTGCATGATTTACATTTTCTATTAGCATACATTAAACATATTCACAAGTAACAATTATTTCTGATAATTCTTATTCCCCTTTACAGAGTTATCATCTCTGATCTCTACGTATACACTGCTGAATGAAGACCTTCCTATGCCAATGCCATCCCTCACAGTCCTGTGATGCCACATTCCATCTCACTCCGGCACATTCGCTGATCTCGGCACTCCATCTCTTGCGGAGTTTGTCCTTTCATGCAGGACATGCTCTCTCCCTTTTGTTGCCATTCCATCACCAGTCTCCTCCACCAGTCATGATCTGTGTAGTAATGTGTTCTGCCCAAGCCCACTTCCTTTTATGAAAAATAAAGATAGGTTTTACCCTTTCTGGCAATATAACAGGTGTTGTGATTTTCAAACACCAAATAGATACATTTTGCAAGGAAACAAGTCTGCATGAAACATACGTACTTGTGGTGAACATGCAAACACAATATTATCTCATAATATATGCATTGTCTTTTAAACTAATTGGCCTACACCACAGACAGCCTTCTTCATGGCCTAGTCTCGCCAGTTTCAGACAGAGAATTCCAAAAGCTGAACAGTACAAAGCAATGCACGTATCAGAGCATTAATAGATCGAGGTGAGCAGCTCTATCAGGTAAGAATAGGTACAACTTATTCCCATATTCTTAGTTTTTTCGGTAAAGTCACGTTGAAGAGAAACAACAAAATAACAAAATATATATAAAACAATAAAAAATTCTCACGACGTTTCGACCATAACTCAAACGGTCATCATCAGGTGTGTCGGTTTGCATAAATTTATTTTGAAAACGGCATGTTTATTTATATATATAAAAATAACGTTTGCGTCACGCGCAACGATGGCAGTTTGCCAGGACTAGTCCATCTATTTTTTGAAAAGAGGAGGGGGGAGACGAAATTTGTTTTTATGTATGCTGTCTGAAAGGCACTGTAAGCGTGAACAATCAATCAAGAACTGAAATGATTTATCAAATCTTTCCAATGATTGCTAAGATAGAATCCATCTTCTCGGTTGAAATTGTCTCTGTGTTTGTATATGTGGATAGCCTCATGAACGAATCTCTCATGGAAGCCAGATGGCTTACAAAGAACCTCCGTCTTGGAAAAGTCAATGGCATGTGAGCCTACTGAATTAGAACAATGATCTGCTACGGCCGAGGTGTTGGTCCTACCGTGTTTAAGGTCTGCTTTATGTTCACGAATGCGGTCCGAGATATGGCGTTTGGTTTCTCCAATGTAACTACTACCACAGAGGCAACTTAGTTTGTAGACACCAGGGTATTGTATGTCCGGAATCACATCTTTTACAGACGGAACCAGATCACGGATTTTATGTAATGTGTTGAAACGGACCTGGATCTTGTGTTTATTCAAGATTTTGGAGATCTTTTTTGTGATCCCAGCAATGTAGGGTAAAGTGATGGTTTTGAAAGGCTCCTCAAGAGGGTTCTTCTTCATGGTTTGAGTGATAGCTTTGCGGATTGTATAGTCGGAGTAACCATTAGCCCTAAGAGCTTGGTGTACGTGCTTGAGTTCACTGCTTATGTGTTCCTGGTCGGATATGCATTGGGCTCTATGATACAGAGTCTTGATGAGAGAATTCTTCTGTGATGGATGGTGGTGGGAATCCGGTTTCAGATAAGCATCCGTATGGGTAGCTTTCCTGTAGACAGAGTGGCTCATTGAACCATCAGGTCTCTTTTTAATTAGGACATCCAAAAAAGGTATCTTGCCATCTATTTCGACTTCCATGGTAAATCTGATGGCTGGGTGTATGGAATTGATGTGGTCGAAGAATTGGTCTAGAGCAGGCCGGCCATGTGGCCAGATGACAAAAGTGTCATCCACGTACCTCTTCCATAAGGTTGGGCGCAGAGTGGCAGTCTGGATGGCGTCAGTCTCAAATTTCTCCATGAAAATGTTAGCTATAACTGGAGAAAGGGGGGAGCCCATTGGGGTGCCCTCAGTTTGTTTGTAGAAAGTTCCATTCCAAGTGAAGTATGTATTGGTTAAACAGTGTCTCACCAGGGGGGGTACCTCAGTGTTTAGTCCTTGATGAACCAAGTCTTCAATGATTGCAATGGTGTCAGGTACAGGAACCTTGGTGAATAAGGAAACTACATCAAAACTGACAAGCAGGTCGTCTGGGGACAGGGAAATACCCTTGATTGTTGATACCAGGTGAGTAGAATTTTGTACCGCAGAGGTGGTCTTTCCAGTGAAAGGACGCAGGATTTCAGACAAAAAACGAGCTAGTTTGTAGGTGGGGGAGCTGATAGTAGAGACTATGGGACGAAGAGGTGTATCAACTTTATGTATTTTTGGTAAGCCGTATAATCTTGGTGGCCTGGCAGCAGAAGGTTTCAACGAAAACTGTTTAGATTGATCAATTAATGCGGTTGAATCAGAAATTATTTTGTTGGTTTGTGTGACGATGCTGTTGGTGGGATCTCTTTTTATTTTTGTATAACTACCATCGTCGAGTAATTCTTTAATTTTGTTGTTGTATTCTATTTTATCCATGATAACAGTAGCATTGCCTTTGTCAGCTGAGAGAACTACAATATCATTCCTCTTTTTTAATTTATATAATTCAAAACGCTCATCTTTGCTGAGGTTGCTAGCTGGCATCTTAGCGTTTTTGAGGGTTGCAGCGATTTCAGATCTTGCTACGTCTGCAGCGATGTGACCCAGGCCCCTGAGAGCAACGTCTACTTGGGCAATTATATCATTAACTGGTATGTGTTTAGGTGTGACTGCAAAGTTTAGACCTTTAGCTAAAACGGATTTCAGACCATCGGAAATAGAACTGTTACTGCGATTAATTACGACTTTATTAACGTCTAACTTTTTGGTGTGTGGGTCCGGTCTTTTGTTGAAAAGGAGGTTAAATTTGGAAATCAGGTTTTCCTTACATTTGGTCGACATAGTAGCAGCTGAAGAGGAAGTCATATTGTCTACATGTTCCCAATCCGATGTGGACATTATTGCCGTCAATGATAAGTGTGATTTGTAGAGTGTCTTGTCTAACTGATCTAGTTCTGTGCGTATAAGTCTGATTTTTTCAGAGATAAGAGCTAAGCTAGTTTTGAAAAGAATTCGTTTCGCATTAGAAGAAGTTACAGTAGCAGAGGTGAGTGTAAATGCGATTGGTATTACCCCAGAGTCGCGGCATACCAATCGCATTTACACTCACCTCTGCTACTGTAACTTCTTCTAATGCGAAACGAATTCTTTTCAAAACTAGCTTAGCTCTTATCTCAGAAAAAATCAGACTTATACGCACAGAACTAGATCAGTTAGACAAGACACTCTACAAATCACACTTATCATTGACGGCAATAATGTCCACATCGGATTGGGAACATGTAGACAATATGACTTCCTCTTCAGCTGCTACTATGTCGACCAAATGTAAGGAAAACCTGATTTCCAAATTTAACCTCCTTTTCAACAAAAGACCGGACCCACACACCAAAAAGTTAGACGTTAATAAAGTCGTAATTAATCGCAGTAACAGTTCTATTTCCGATGGTCTGAAATCCGTTTTAGCTAAAGGTCTAAACTTTGCAGTCACACCTAAACACATACCAGTTAATGA